TTTCCTGTTCACCACATCCATGCCAACATCACTGTTTTTGATTATGGCCATTCTTGCAGGAGTAAGGTGGTATCACATTGTGGTTTTGATTTGCATTTCCCAATTATTAGTGATGTTCAGCATTTTTTTCATATGTTTGTTGGTCATTTGTGTATCTTCTTTTGAGAATTATCTATTCATGTCCTTCGCCCACTTTTTAACGGGATTGTTTGGTTTTTTTCTTACTGATTTGTTTGAGTTCATTGTAGATTCTGGATATTAGTCATTTGTCAGATGTATAGATTGTGAAGATTTTCTCCCACTCTGTAGGTTTCCTGTTTACTCTGTGACTGTTTCTTTTGCTTTGGAAAAGCTCTTTAGTTTAATTGGGTCCCAGCTATTTACCTTTGTTTTATAGTATTTGCTTTTGGGTTTTTGGTCATGAAATCCTTGCCTAAGTTAATGCCTAGAAAGATTTTTACAATGTTATCTTCCAGAATTTTTATAGTTTTAGGTTTTAAGTTCTTAATCCATCTTGAGTTGATTTTTGTATAAGATGAGAGATGAGGGTCCAGTTGCATTCTCCTACATGTGGCTAGCCAATTATCCCAGCAACATTTGTTTAAAAGGATGTCGTTTCCCCATTTTATATTTTTGTTTGCTGTGTAGAAGATCAGTTGGCTGTAAGTGTTTGGGTTTGTTTCTGGGTTCTCTATTCTGTTCCATTAGTCTGTGTACCTATTTTTATACCAGTATCATGCTGTTTTGGTGATTATGGCTTTATACTATATATTCAAACTATATATTAGTATAGTTTGAAATCAGGTAATGTGATGCCTCCAGATTTGTTCTTTTTGCTTAGTCTTGCTTTGGCTATGTGGGCTCTTTTTTGGATCCATATGAATTTTAGAATTGTTTTTTCTAATTCTGTGAGGAATGATGGTGGTATTTTGATGAGAATTGTGTTGAATTTGTAGATTGCTGTTGGCAATATGGTCATTTTCATAATATTCTACTCATCCATGAGCATGGGATGTGTTTCATTTGTTTGTGTTATCTATGATTTCTTTCAACAATGTTTTGTAGTTTTTCTTGTAGAGGTCTTTTGACTTCTTGGTAAGATAGATTCCTAAGTATTTGATTTCAGTTTTTTTTTGCAGCTATTGTAAAAGCAGTTGAGTTCTTAATTTGATTCTCTGCTTGGTTTCTATTGGTGTATAGAAGAGCTACTGATTTGTGTACATTAATCTTGTATCCAGAAACTGCTGAATTCTTTTTATCAGTTCCAGGAGCTTTCTGGGCGAGTCCTTAGGGTTTTTTAAAGGCAGACGATCATATCTTCAGCAAACAGTAACAGTTTGACTTTCTCTTTACTGATTTGGATGCCCTTTATTTTTCTCTCTTGTCTGACTGCTCTGTCTAGGACTTTCAGTACTGTGTTGAAGAGGAGTGGTGAGAATGGGCATCATTGTCTTATTCCAGTTCTCAGAGGGAATGCTTTCAACTTTTCCCCATCCAGTGTTATGTTGGTTGTGAGTTTTCATAGATGGCTTATATTACATTATGGTATGTCCCTTGTATGCCAATTTTGCTGGAAGTTTTAATGATAACGGGATGCTGGATTTTCTCAAATACTTTTTCTCCATCTATCGAGATGATTATGTGATTTTTGTCTTTAATTTTGTTTATGTGGTATATCACATTTATTGACTTGTGTATGTTAAATCATCCCTATATTCCTGGTATGAAATCCACTTGATCATGTCATGGTGGATTATCTGTTTGATATGTTGTTGGATTCGTTAGCTAGTATTCTGTTAAGGATTTTAGCATCAATGTTCAACAAGGATATCAGACTGCAGTTTTTAAATGTGCTTTTCTGGCCGGGCACAGTAGCTAATGCCTCTAATCCTCGCACTCTGGGGGGCTGAAGAGGGCAGATCACTTGAGGTCAGTTCAAGATCAGCCTGGCCAACACAGTGAAAAACCCTCTACTAAAATTATAAAAACTAGGCAGGCGTTGTGGCGGGCACCTGTAATCCCAGCTACTCAGAAGGCTGAGGCAGGAGGATCTCTTGAACCCAGGAGGCGGAGGTTGCAGTGAGCCTAGATCGCATCACTGCACTCCAGCTGGGCGACAGAGTAAGATTCCGTCTCTAAAAAGTTCTTTTCTGTTATTTCCTGAACTTGATTGCCTAAATAAGGCACAAGAGATGTGGAAGGAGGTGGAGGTGAAGTGAGGACCCTCCCTCCTGGCCTGCATCTGGAGTACGTTGGGTGTGTGGCACCGCCGTGGACCCCCGGGAGGATCCCAGCCAGTTTGGGTGCCGGTGACGCCCCAAAGGAAGGGCTGCTCTCCGGTCCCGCAGGCTCCGAGGTCGCCGCACCCGGGAGCTCCTGGGCCTCGTCACCCTCCTGGTGCGCGCCCCAAGGGAAGCTGGTGTGTGTTTTGGTCGGCAGGGCGTTTTATTCCCCATCTGCTCCACAGCTCTGAGGTTTCTTTCTGAACCGTGGTCGGTGGTAAGGAAGAGCCCCCGCCTCCAAACTGCAGTCTCACAGTCAACTGCAGCCTCAGGGTTTTGAATAGCCTTGCTTAGAAGCCGTCTTTTCCTGCTCCATCGCGTCTTCCCCTCTCGATTCCTTTTTTTCACTGGAGAAAACCCCTCCGAGCCGAGTCTCTCCGCCTGCTTCGGAGGTTACTGCAGCCTCCCCTACCAGCAGTTCTGGCACCCGGGTCTAGTCCGTGTTTCCGGAGCAGGTCCCTCCCCGAGTCGTCAGGCTCAGTTATGCCTGTGCTCGATGGGCTCGGGAAACGCGCGCGGGTGGCTGCTTTAGCAGCAGATCTCCATAGAAAAGAGTCCCGGAGATACGCTCTGCCTGGCCAGTGGCCCAGTGCCTCAAAGCGGGCGCCTGTGCGCGCCCCGAGGTGCCACACTACAGCAGAGCCTGACGGCTAAGGGAGCTGAGGACTGCGAACTGGCGACGCCGGAGAAGCTGCGAGAGGGAAGGGAAATGGCCGCTAACCCGTTCCCTCCCACCCCCAGCAGAAATTGGGGAAGTGGCGGGGAAGGGGGAAAAGGGAGAGAATAGGAGTGGGGTTGAGGAAGGGTAAGGAGGATATTGAGCTTCCTACAGTTGCGGGGGAAGGTGGAGAAAATTTTCAGGGAGGCAGCCGAGTATTAGAGCTAGCGAGCTTCAAAGAAATGTTGATAGACATATGCCCAGAAAATGAGGAGGCCGGGCATGGGCACTAAATACCAGTCACAGGAGATATATGGAAGCAGGAAATTGGCACATCAGAAGCATTTGACTGTCCTGCTCTAAAACAAAGCAAATTGAACACAAAAAACAGATTATAGCGAAAGTGGCACAGTAGTGAGCTCGTAGAGCCCATTCCTATACAGAAACACAGAAAAATAAGCAACAGCTGCCAGGATTGACTTCGTGGAACTCTGGGAAACAGTAAAAAGATTACAGCAACCAAATGAGTGCTGAACCTAAAAAAAGTAACTGAAACGCAGGGATAGGGTAGAGGGGCAGGGAAGTGCTGGGTAGGGAAAGGCGGGTCCCTGGCAAAGGCCCTTCCCTGAGCCGGTGCCCACTGGACCTAGGTGAGGACAGAGGCTTCTGCCATAACGCCCAAATGTTGCATTTCCCAAGACCTCCCTGGCCCGCCACGTCTCCATCCTGTGCCTATGAAAATCATGAGACCCTAGCAGGCAGACACACAACAGGCTGTATGTCCAGAGGAATTCATCAGAGTAATAACTGTATGTGAAGCTGAGCACTCCAAAGGAAGAGAGCACGCCTGCGGAAGAGGACACCGACAGACCGCAGGAGGCTATTATAAATATTATAAAATTATTATAATAAAATGAAAATATAAAAATATAAATATTTGTGTTATAAATATAAATAAAATGATTTACATCCATTATTTTACATAATAAATCACATAATTATTTACATAATTATTTACATAAATTATTGTATGAGAACACGGTGAATAATTTTAAGCCAAAAACAACTCGATGTTCATCACTGGATGAGTAGATAAGCAATTTGCAGTATATTCATACAATGGAATATGATTCAGCCATAAAGTGAAATGAGGTACTGATACATGCTGCAGCAAGGATGAACCCCCAAAACATGACACTCGGTGAAGGAAGCCAGACATGGAAGGTCACATATTGTATGATCCCATTTATAAGAAATATTTAGAATAGGTAAATCCATGGAGACAAAAGGAGATTTGTAGTTGCCAGGTGTTGGAGCCAAGAAAGATTTAATAAGCATGCTTATGTAGTTGATGAAAATGTTTTGGGCTAGATAAGGGCGATGGTTGCATAACATTGTGAGTGTACTAAATGTCACTGAATTCTACTCTTTAAAGTTGTTAATTTTATGTTCTGTTGCTTGTACCTCAACAAGAAAATAGTAATAATAATACAGGCTGAGTGCTCTAGCAAGGGATGAGGCAGCAAGTAGCGTCTCCCAATCCCAGTGAAGTCTGAGCCGCGTGCCTGTAATAAACCCACTATGGCACAGAACTGCAGAGTTCCTTCGGTCATTGGCAACCTCACAGCCCCCTGAAACCTCTGCCTGGGGGTCTCTGAAAGCCAAGGCGGGGACGGGGAATCGAGCCGGACTCTTGAGACCGTGGGCCAAGTTTAGCTGGACTCAGTTACCTGGCTGAGGCCTAGTGGGCAAAATATTCCAAACCTCGCGGGATTTGGAACCTGGAGCCAGATAATTACCGGAACTCCAGATGTGCGAGTCTATCGAGTCTATTGACAGGAGGTCCCCCTAGAGTTTCCATTCATAATTTTAACCGCATTTCATCGCTCTTGAGACATGGCTTTTGATATTGTATCATCTCAAAGTAAATAGTGTTAGATGTCTAGTTGCAGCGTTTTTCTGAGAGATACGTAACAACAGTGAGTCTCAGAAACGATGCTGTCTTAAATTCAAAGAAATTGTTGCAATAGATGCTCAATAAATGTAGACTGAATAAATGAGTGAATGAATGAAAATTATTTTATTTTTATTTGAGCTTTGGTTCTGCCATTTGCTAGCAGTGTGAATCAAGAGAAGCCAATAACCCCTCTGAGCTTCCCTAGTTCACAAAGTGCCTGTCGTAAAGTCAACAGCTTCCCGACACTGCAAGGCTCGCAAGAAGTGCCACACGACTGTGCGCTTAGGGCCTGAGTGCTCACTCCCCAAAACTCCAACCCAGTGAAACGGCAGAAACGGTGTGTTTTTTTTAAATTTTTTATAATAATATGTAAAAGAAAATATAAATGGGAATTTGCGGTAGTGGGGGAAGGCATATCTACTTTAAAAGGCAGGTCATTTTTAAAAGCTCTATTTTCTAAGTTAAAACTACGAAAGCGGGGTGGGATGGGGTGGGGACAGTTGCCCTGTAAGAACTTCGGTGATTGATGATCTAAGTTTCTCGAAGTGTCTCAGAGCCTCAATGATTCTTTCAATCCGGGACGTCTGCAGAGAGCAGAAAGAAAATAGGCGTTAGAAACCAGAGGTCAAAGATGTGTGGCCCATCCCACACTTCTCTCTTGCCGTCCCCACCGGCATTGGAGTACTTAATATACAAGGTTCTCGCGACGGCCTCACGCGCATGTACCCGCTGCCACCGCACTCCCACACCTCCCTGGTCCAGCAGCGAGCCAGGTCCTGCCTTGCTGCTCCAGGCGCGCTGACCACTCACGCGCTCCAGGTCCACCCGGCCAAGGGCAGAGAAAGCGCGATCCACGGCCAGCGGGGTTGCAAGAAAACGAGTGTTATATAATGAGTGTCAGTGCCTGCTCACAATGCCAGGGGCGAAGGCGTGAAAACGTGGCCTTTCCTTTCCGGCATCCCCGGGCATCTTTTGCACCTGGTACAGAGTGAGTCAGCCAGAGCGTTAACCAAAGGGCGCTTCGGGATCTGGCACTCCTCAGCCGTAGGAGAAACTAGAGTTCCAATCCCGTAGGTTGCCTACGCATGCCTTCTCCTACAAACCCACAAATGGCTTCCTATCATTTCTGAAACAAAATGGATGCTCATTTATTCGACCCTATATGATCTGGCTTCTGCCTTCCTCTCTAATCTCGCTGTGTACGGGCTCCAGCTCGCCTTTCGGTTATCCCAATCTTTTACATTTATTTCTGAGGCAGCATTTGCACTTGACAGTCTCTTCCTCCCATAGCTTTCATTAGATTCTCTGACCACTCTTTAGCCCTCTCCTCCTATTCACGCTTCATACCCATTCCATGGGTTTTATAAACTTGTTCTCTGAAAATACATTGTTATCTTGCTCAACGTGTTTCCCAGGTTGGGCACGATAGCTTGGGACTGTAATCCCAGCACTTTAGGAGGCGGAGGCGGCGAGAGGATTGCTTGAGCCCAGACAACAGGGTGAGAAGCTGGTTTCTATTATTTTTTAAAAAAAAAAAAAAAAAAAAAAAAAGCCAGGCATGGTGTCGCACGCCTGTGGTCTCCGCTAGTCGGGAGGCTGAGGTGGGAAGACCCCTTGAGCCAGGGAGGTCAAGGCTGCAGTGAGCCGTGATCGCGCCACTGCACTCCAGGTTGGGCAACAGATCGACCCTGTCTCCAAATGTAAACATCATGAGGGTAAGACTCCCGTTTTGTCTCATTCACCTTGGCGTGCCCATCGCCTAGAACATGGCTGATCACGAAGTAGAATCTAACCATAGAATTAATTGTGCTTGAAAAGGGGATGTTGGGGAGAAAGAGAAGGAAGGGAGGAAGGAAAGTATGAAAGACTTGTGTGCTTGGATTAAATATCTTTGGTTTAAGAGTCGTTCAATTTATTTATTAGCTTATGGATTAATTCAATAGTTTTACTCCTTCTCCCACGCGGCTCCTCCAGCTTTATGCTCAGCCCTGGAACCGTGCTGTAATTGGTAGCTCTTTCGACACCGACCTGGCTGCAAGCTGTAACCGGAGACGAAGTCGGGGAATGCTGGGGAAGAGGGGCCGAGTAAAGAACTCTGCATCTTTAACTTGGAAGGTGATTCTGCATTCAGTATTTACAGCATCCCCCAGAAGAGGGCTTAGACGTAACTCTCCACCTCGTCCACCCAGGCTCCCCTATGGCCCAGGGAGCCCAGTTCCCCATTCTCGGCCAAAATAAGATGGATTTCAAAATCTTTAAGGTCATATTTTACCTTAAATATTCGTGTTAATTCCCGTGTATTGCTTCATATTATCTATTTGGTTTTTTAAAAAATTGTTCCCCCTCCAAAAACAATTGAGTAATGTTGGCACTACCAGCAGACAGCTGTGAGGGTTAGAAAACTGAGGCCATGGAATGGGGGCAGAGGGAGGATGCTTTGAGATCGTAAAAAGTAAAGGCAAGGAGAACCACAATTCTATCTTCGTCGCTTAGCGATCTCTTGCATAAGTTTAAGAGGCAAAGGAGAGGTTCTCTGTCTGCCATAGAGTGCTGCACAGCCAGCTAAGGTCAGCGAAGTTTTGGTCCTGATGCCCGCAGAACCCCCCGGGGCAGCTCTGGAAAACTCTACCGCATAAAGCGGAGGGTCGGATTAGTTGAGTTGTGTAGTAGAGCTGAGATTGAGCGATCTCCAGATGGTGCCACACACAATTGGATTTGGGAATCCGAGGGTTGGTCCAGCCACCTTGGTATACAAATGAGGAAGCAGATCCGGTAAGTGGGCGCAACTGGCCCTAGTTTGGAGGAAGAGGGAGCCTCTTCCTCTAGCCTCTTTAGTCTTCAATGCTCCACAATCTAGGCCTTAAACTAGGAGAGGGTAGGTGTTTGGGTGGTGGTGTACTTTGGGAGGTATAATTTACAGAATGGGCTTTCACATGCGAAAGTCCCTGTCGTGATTATTTCCCATTTGCTGCCCTGGCCGGGCAGCGCGATCAGGAGACTCAGGCTGTCTGATGATTGCGTGAGCTGAGGCGAGACCCGAGATTGGTCTCCCCGGCTGAACTTTCTGTTCTGGAAAAGGAATGCTCCGAGCTTTGGAAGCTCTCCGGGTACAAATTCTTAGATCACCAGTCCTCACCTGAGGGACCTTCCGCGGCATCTGTGCGGGCAGGGCTACTGCCTGTGGTGCCCCCCGCAGCTGCGCGCAGGTACCCTGCAACGTCGCAGTGACTCCGCTCCTCAGCCAGGTCCACGGGCAGACGGCCCCAGGCATCGCGCACGTCCAGTCGCGCCCCGGCCCGGTGCAGCACCACCAGCGTGTCCAGGAAGCCCTCCCGGGCAGCGTCGTGCACCGGTCGGGTGAGAGTGGCGGGGTCCGCGCAGTTGGGCTCCGCGCCGTGGAGCAGCAGCAGCTCTGCCACGCGGGCACTGCCCATCATCATGACCTGCCAGAGAGAGCACAGTGGTCAGAGGCGGGGTAGGGGACAGAAAGGACGCCAGTGTGAAGCCCCCTCACCGCCAAGCAGGCACCCACACAAGCCACAGGTGTCTAATTACCCTACCTTTGCTTCCCATTTCCAATTTCCTTTTACAGTTCGCCTATCCATTCTTCAGTACACATTAAATTCCATTATATTCTCCGAACTTTTGCGGAGCTGTAGCCACAGGCAGAGAGCCCTGTGAGACACGACAACAGCAAAGGGGCAGGGACAAACTGACTTTTACTCCAGCCTAACTTCCTGTATCTCCCCTGAGATACAACTGCTGAAATTTATTCCTGAAATTTTGTTAGGCCTGGAGATTTTCTGTTGTTGTTGTTCACTGCTGTATATCCAAGTGCAGAATGTGGTAATTGTTAAAAAGAGAAAACTTTTTTTAAAAAACACATTTTCACAAAACTTTTTAAGTTATCTTAGCTTCTGGGAATGTTGAACCTCAATTTCTTATATTAGTTTTAAAATTGTATATTGGCATTTATAGTTGTATATATTTATGTGGTATAATATGATGTTATAATCTTTGAACACAATGGGGAATTATTAAATCAAGCTAATTAACCTATCCATCATCTCAAACATTTGACATTTTTGTCAAATGAGAGCATTTGGGATATACTATTTAGCTATATTCATCATGCTGTGAAATACATCTCAAAAAAACCAGTCAGACTTATTCCTCCCATCTTAACTGAGGCTTTGTATTTTTGATTACCATCTCCCTATTCCTCCCACTCCCCTAGCTCCAGTAACCACCATTCTACTCTCTACTTCTAAGAATTTAATTGTTTTATATTTCACAAATAAGTAAGAACATGTGATATTTGTCTTTCTGTGTTTGGCTTATTTCATTTAGCACAATGCTCTCCAATTCCAAAACTTCAATTCCTTCAAGTATTAAACAAGAAGGCTAGTTTAATTAGTCCTAAAATTCCTTTCTGTGGTAGGCTGAAAAATGCACCCCCCCCACAAATATCTATGCCTTAATCCTCAAAAGCTGTTAATATATTACCTTATGTGGCAAAAGAGGCTTTGTAGATGTGATTTAATTAATGGTCTTGAGGGCGATTATCCAGAATTTTCAGGGTGGGCCCAACATAACCCCAAGTGTTTTTATTAGAGGGTCACAGTCAGAGAGAAGATATTAGAAGCAGAAGCCAGAGAGAAAATACAGGGGCCATGATCTAAGGAATTTGATGGTCACCAGAAGCTGGAAGAGACAAGGAAGCAGATTCTCCCTTAGAGTTTCTAAAAGGAATGGAACCCTGTGGACCCATTTTTGACTTCTGATCTTTAGAGCTGTAAAATAATAATTTTGTGTTTGCTTTAGCTAATACATTTGTGTTTGTGATAATTTGTAACAGCAGCAAGAGGAAACTTAAACACTTTCCAGGTTTATGATTTGAGAGTTCATTAAATAAGAGATGGTCACGTCTTTGGTTCCTAAATCATCTTGGAAACAAAGCCATTTCCAAAGAGGAATTTTAAAATACTGTCTGCAGTCATAGCAACCTTAAAATTTGAGTGTTATATGGTAGACGGTGGTAGAAGCAGACAATTTATTTTGAGATAACTGTTATTTGTTATATTAGCTTGAGGATGGTGGTGTTATAAAGAGGAATTATTTATTTTTAGGTACATTTTGTATTAAACATAAATTGCATAAGTTGTCTAAATCAAAGAATTATACTAAATTATATTGTAGTTACTAAATCCTGTCCTGAGAAAGTGAAACTGAGTTAGTTTTCAAAGAGACAAAGAGAAAGTACAAGGAAACCAAACTGCAGCTACAAAAAGACAAAATATTGCAGTAAATTTATTGTTTTGTGTGTTCAATGAAGTCCTTCATTTTGGTCATAAAACTAGTCTTAATGGTTTTTCTTATATTTCATAGTATGAAAAATCTAAAAAGTAACCCATATGTAATTATTTAAATCATGATAGAAATCCAAAGCAAAAAGAAAATGAATCAATTGAATGAAAATGTGTAGGATGCTTAAACCCATTTGATAAGAAATTAATATTAATTTAGTACTTAAAATGTTATATAAATAAGTTTGTATATTAAGCATCAATGTAGTTAGGATTCTAAGCCAACGTCATTTCCCCTTTTCTACATGTTCTTCTCCCTTCCCCATTAAAAATTGTCAAAACTATCCACTTTTCTTTTCCCTTTTTGCTTTTAAACAAATAAGGTATCTTCTAAGATATTTTAGGGCTCCAATGCCAAACTTCCAGGTCTAAGCTGCTGGTACAATTTTAGAGATGCAAAGATACCCAGGATTAATTACTTTTAAATCATCCCCTAACCCCTCACAAAACCGGAGTGGGGAGAGGAGAAACACTACTTTTCAAAAATAAGGAAATGAAAAATCTCTAAAACTCTATCATAAATAAATTATACCAGGAAAGCTAAAGATAGCAAAACAGCAAAAATGTCAGCAGATATTCCCAAAATGGTGTCTACGTATTACATCTGGCGTGATCACACGAATGGGATTCATTACATACGACTATCTGTATTTCCTAAGTTCCTACAGCAAACATATATTTGTCCTACTCACTTAAAAATAAACACAATATGTAGTTGCTTCGGAATAATTTCTTTCTTTTCTTTTCTTTTCTTTTCTTTATCGGACTTTCACTCTTTCACCCAGGCTGAAGTGCAGTGGTGTGATGGCTTACTGCAACCTCCGCTCCTGCCTCAGCCTCCCGAGTAGCTGGGATTACAGGCGTCCACCACTACGTCTGGCTGATTTTTGTATTTTTAGTAGAGACGGCCAGACTGGTCTCCAACTCCTGACCTTGTGGTCCGCCCGCCTCGGCTCCCTACAGTGAAGGGATTACAGGCGTGAGCCACCGCACCCGGCCGCTTCTGAATAATTTCGATCAGAAATTTATATTCGATATTTATTCCCACATATACGACAGATTTTTACTGATAATACCTCCTAGCAAGAAAGATAAGCTCCATCCAGGTATCTGTGAATTCAGGGCTAAGTAGTTCCAGTACATCCTACATTTCTTTAAGACTCGCGTTTTATCCCAAACGTTTGTAAATTTTGTATCTGATAAAGAGCATACCTCCATCTAATACAAATATTTCCTCCCTCTTCAGATCCTTACAGCATTCCAGAGATGTGCACGCGCGGGCCTCCCCAATCCTTCTGTGGCTTCCCGGGGACCCCAGAAGAGCAGGTCTGTGATTACAGACCTCTTCTGAAAACTCCCCAGGAAGCCTCCCTTTTTTCAGAATAAAAGCCTACCTGATTCCCCTGCAAACCTCGTCCTCCAGAGTCGCCTATCGCCCCCTGCTCCCGCTACAGGCCCTCTACCCACCTGGATCGGCCTCCGACCGTAACTATTCGGTGCGTTGGGCGGCGCCCCCGCCTCTAGCAGCGCCCGCACCTCCTCTACCCGACCCCGGGCAGCGGCCGTGGCCAGCCAGTCCGCGGAAGGCTCCATGCTGCTCTCGGCTGCTCGCTCCCCTCTCTCCCTCTCTCCGCGCCTGCAGAGCTCTCGCGGCCCGCACTACAGTCTCGAGACCAGCCCGCCCCTCCTCTTTCTTCCACCCGGGAGGGCGGGCGGAAGAGCCCCCACCCCCAACACCCGGGACTCCGTCTGTCAACTCTTCTGGCGGAACGGCTGTATCTTTCCAGGCAGGGGGGCGCCGTTCGCTAGTCCTCCGAGGAGGTGCTATTCACTCGTTGCGAAGATGGCACCCCTGAAGCCGCCCCAAGGTGGGTCTCCCCCGGGGGCACCAGCCGGAAGCGGCCCTCGCCCGCCGGAGCCCAGAGGCGGCGAGGACAGGCTGGACTCCTCCCCACCTGCTCCTACGCCGCCATCCAGCAGCCCTGCTCCCGGCCGGGCTCCCCGCCTCCCAGCAACCGCGCGTTTGCGTCTCTGAGCGAAAAGAAATTTCGCACCCCCCACACCCCTCCCCCCCGCGCACGTTTCCTTCCTCCACGGTACAACCTTCCTAACTGCCAAATTGAATCAGGGTGTTTGGAGTCACAGGGAAAGTATGGCTTCTTCTTTTACTCATAAGAAAAAGCAAAATTATTCTTTTCTGTTTGTGAGAGTCCAGTGAGGATCAAAATCACCTGTGCGACTAGGAAGCGTCCCCCTACCCTCTCAACCCTTGATTTTCGAGAGCGCCGGGTTCACTAAGTCAGAAATCCTAGTTCAAAGGATTCCTTTTGGAGAGTCGGCCTGCTCTCTCCTTCCCCACCCCTTCCCCTCCTATGTGCAAAACGGCTGTCTAGGGCGTGGGTTTCTCACACGTGTGCATTGCCTGGTATAAGGGCAGATTCTGACAAAATGAGGTTTGTTTAATACGGACAGGGGAGAATTGTGCCAATGGGTAGGGAGTACTGGAAGGACGGATTCCATTCTCAATAAGTCATAATTCCTAGACCAGAAGAAGTGCTCAGTGTTCTAGAGGCAGAGTTGCACAGTGATTCAAAGATCAGCTTTACACACTGCCCTGTCTCCTTCACACGCACATTTCCCCTTCCCAGTGAAAATACCTTGCATTCTTTTTTAGTTATAAAGGGGGAGGGGAATATGAGTGTCCCCTGCTTTACAGGAGTTGTTGTGAATTTAAATGAATTGATGTATTCATACATATGAACCTTAAGAACAGTGCCACACATCCTAAGCTAATACCCGTTATTTCTTGAATTGTCCATTTTGAGGATTGGCTTGCAATTCTGTTTTGAGGCATGAAAAGAAAATGGTTTGGAGCCGGGCGCGGTGACGCACGTCTATAATCCCAGCACTTTGGGAAGCCGAGGCAGGTGGATCACCTGAGGTCCGGAGTTGGAGACCAGCTTGGCCAAAATGGTGACACCCTGTCTCTACTAAAAATACAAAAATTAGCGAGGCGTGGTGGCGCACGTAATTCCAGCTATTCAGGAGGCTGAGGCAGGAGAATCTCTTGAACCTGGAAGGCGGAGGTTGCAGTAAGCCACCGCACTCCAGCTTGGGTGACAGAATGAGACCCCGACTCAGAAAAAAAAATTGCTTTGGATAGAATTATCACTATTACATAAAAGGAAAGGCAGGGCGCAGTGGCTCACGCCTGTAATCCTAGTATTTTGGGGGGGGGCCGAGGCGGGTGGATCACCTGAGGTCAGGCATTGGAGATCAGCCTGTCCAACATGGTGAAACCCCCTCTCTACTAAAAATACAAAAATTAGCCCAGCATGGTGGCACGGGCCTGTAATCCCACCTACTTGGGACGCTGAGGTAGGAGAGTCTCTTGAACCTGGGAGGCAGAGGTTACAGTGAGTGGAGATCTTGCCATTGCACTCTAGCCTGGGCAACAAGAGTGAAACTCCGTCTCAGAAAAAAANAAAAAAAAAAAAAAAAAAAAAAAAAAAAAAGAGCAAGAAGAGCTTACTCCCTGAAAAGATGGAGATGATGGGCACCCTCCACCACCCTTATAATGAAAAGTTAAACAGCACTAAAGAGTATAACAAGTGCAAAGAGGTAAAAGTTCTAATTTTTCCTGCGACTATTACTTTTTAAGGTTTTCAATAACATACATTAGAAAAAAATGGATTGCTCAGACTCTGATGATGCCTTAAGCACATGCTTAACCTTCCTATGGATAATCCAGCTCCGCTTAAAAGTTATATTTCAATCCCTGGTTGACTTAAACCTTGTAGACCCAGCATATCTTGTATGCTTGATTTTTAAACAGGTAGTTATAAAAATGAAGCCAATGAAAACAATTTGGGATGTCAAGTATGTTATTAAAATCTACACTGCATTACTGTGCTATTTATATTTTCCTTGGGTACCCCTCAATTATCTGTATAGCCATAATATGGAAAATTCAAACTATTGATAAATAAAATTCTTTTGGTTTAGCTTAAGGTATTTTATGATGGAGGAGGAAGAAAGATTGGTTTCAAGGATGGGAGGGAGGGAACACATTTAACACATTTCCATCATTAATATAATGATTCTTAATGGGGGCGGAAGAGTGGAAAGAGTAGGCTCTTTCAAGAGTCTGTTGAAAGACTTGCCCAAAACAGAAAGTAGGTAGTAATTTTTTTAAAAAATAGATGTGTTCACTTACACATGTATTTCTGAATAAAACTTTTAGGGAATTCAGAGATTTCTATGAAACTCTACGATGGATTCCTACATCAAGAACTCTTATAGCTCTTGTGAAATATATATATATATATATATGTAGATATGTATATGTATGTATGTATATTGAGCTATTGGTGAAGAAGATGGGTGATGTGGTGATACAAAAACAACATTTAGATGCATTATATACAGATGTAAAAGTTGACTGCTTTGGAAATAACAAGTTTTAGATATGTATATACTCTCGTATCTTGCAGAAGAGCTCTGGAAGGATTATGGCATCCTATGGTGGGGTCATTTTGCTCTAGAAATTGAGTCCATTATCTATTATAAATCTTATGTAAAGTTTAATAATACTGTGAAAACTTTCCTGGTTTTTCTTTTAAAGAACCCACCACGTTCCCAGTTTACTCATACATATCAGCTCAACCTGAGGTGCAAAACCCTAGAATAATGAAAATATAAAGTCCTGGATCCTGGTGCTGCTTATGCCAGCCTCAGATTTCCTATGTGCAAAATGGGATTATAATATATTTCATGGGATCACAAAACATGATACTGTATGTTCAAAAGCTTTTAATTTAAAAATTTACTATATTTACTAGAATTTACTAAAGTTTGTTGGTTATTGTTATTATTCTCACACTTATTTTTCCTTTCTTGAGAGTGCCATTCTTTTTTAGATTTGCAGTGCCTTCGCAGTTAAAAAAATCTATACTATGAAATTTAAACCCGTCTTAATTCTGATCAGTTTTATAAGAAAAAAATACTATCACCTGTTCATTAATTCAACAAGCTCAGAGGCTAAAGGCAGACATAGGGTAGGTGCAGAGGGGAGTAGGTCAAACATAATATCTCTAGAGTCAGACTACCAGGGTTCAAACCTGAACTGTTCCACTTACTGGTTCTCTATCTTTGAACAAAGTTACTCAACATGTCTGGGCCTCTGTTTTCTCATTTTCATGATTAGGATAATAACCATACTTGCCTCAAACAGTTGTTTATGGATTAAATGAGGCATGTAATGCTCTTAGATGAGCAAAATAAAGCAGAGAATGATACAAGAAAATGAAAATTGGACCAAACTCATTCTTATTTGTTTCTAGTAGGCAAAGCCTTCCTGGATGCTAAGAGCTGATCCCAGTCTTGAAGAATGATGTGAGAGTTTAAAGATGGGAAAGAAGGAGACAGATATTCTAGGCAGAGGTAAGAGGATGTGCAAAGTCATAGACGTTTAGGAAAACTGAAAGTAATTCATTTGGACTTATTCCTTAAAAAGAGCCTGTAAGAACTCCTCAGAGGGTCAAAAGAAAAGCCAGCAGAGTGGGATGGCAAGTAAGTGGGGAGGCTGTGTTGACTACTCTTTCACAGCTTCGTTGTGATAGTTCAAGGCCCTTACCATGAAGTGAGGCAGATGGAAGTTGGAAAAGACCTGAGCACACACATACCCTAAAGGGCAAGTGCCAAGTGAAGAGAAGAGAAAATTAGAAGAGAATAAAGGAAAGGTTAAGTACATAGGCAAGATAGGATATTTTTGAGGACCCAAGGTCCCTCAAAAGTCATAAAGAAACAGAACTCAAAGCACAGCTGTGGTGGTTATAGCTTTGGTCAAAAGAGATACGTAGATTTGGGAGGGAGAAAAGGTCAGAATGGGGAGGCACTTCCTTCCATGAATGAGGAAGCTAGCTTGTTTGCAGAGTGAAAATAAGATGGTAGGGTAGGAAGTTTGAGAATGGTAAAAGTTTAGAATACCTCTTATGAGGAGAGAAGATGGGCTGAGTAAGACTCAGACAGAGAAGTCTTTTGTTTTGTTTTTTTAAATCAGACTAGAGAACTCAGCTGAGGGTGGAGATCATGACACAGTAGAGATATTTGATTACTTTCAACATATTACCAGAAAGAGACAGAAAGATATTTTAGAAGTTAGTGTTCTAGAGTTGGTTTCTGGTTCTGACAAGGCATTGTAGGATTGGCAAGGGATGATATGAATATATTTCATGTGATAAGCAAGATGATTTTGTTAGGCAAATAAAAGGAGTTGGAGCAATAGCTCTTTTCTTAGACCACGTGACAGTTCTCATGTATCTAATGAACTATTGTTTTGACTGTGAAATCTTTAGAGATTATTTCTAGATTCAAAGTCCATAATTTTCAAAGTGGGCTTTCTCTTGTTCTGTTCTTAACACTTGATGTGAGATACTGCACACATATTTCTTTACCAGTTTCAATATTAACATTGTTATTAAAGTTAATTGTTGTAACTATAGCTTGAGGTTAAAAACAAAATATACATACAGTATCTCTGGGAAGATACAAAGAAAGCTTTTACCTGTGAGGCAAGGAAATGAAGAACTGGAATTGGCATGCGACTTGCTTTTCACATTCTGTGATTTGTATTGTCTGAATTTGGTATTATGTGCATGGCCTTTCTAATGAATTAAACATAATAAAACTAGTAGACAAATCAGAGTTACTTTTATTAGAATCATCATTCATAACTTTATTTGAAAAGGAGTAACCAAGTACCTAATATATGTCAGGCACTTGGCTTAAAGTTGTCAATATTAATTATAAAAGAAGGGTTCTTAGTCAAGAGCATGTATTGGTAACAGCCATCAATATATTTGCTTCTTTGGAGGAGGAAGGTAGTCTTGAACTGGGATGAGCTCTTGAGTGGAGCCTACAGTAATCACCTGAGCAGGGAAGACTGGAGTGATGGATAGTGATAAGT